ATGGGGCACTATTCCTCCCCCACTGACACCAAGGATGGGGCACGATTCCTCCCCCCACTGACACCAAGGATGGGGCACGATTCCTCCCCCCACTGACACCAAGGATGGGGCACGATTCCTCCCCCCACTGACACCAAGGATGGGGCACAATTCCTCCCCCCACTGACACCAAGGATGGGGCACTATTCCTCCCCCCACTGACACCAAGGATGGGGCACTATTCCTCCCCCCACTGACACCAAGGATGGGGCACTATTCCTCCCCCCACTGACACCAAGGATGGGGCACTATTCCTCCCCCCACTGACACCAAGGATGGGGCACTATTCCTCCCCCCACTGACACCAAGGATGGGGCACTATTCCTCCCCCCACTGACACCAAGGATGGGGCACTATTCCTCCCCCCACTGACACCAAGGATGGGGCACTATTCCTCCCCCCACTGACACCAAGGATGGGGCACTATTCCTCCCCCCACTGACACCTATGATGGGGCACTATTCCTCCCCCCACTGACACCTATGATGGGGCACTATTCCTCCCCCCACTGACACCAATGATGGGGCACTATTCCTCCTCCCACTGACACCTATGATGGGGCACTATTCCTCCCACTGATACCAATGATGGGGCACTATTCCTCCCATTGATACCGATGATGGGACACTATTCCTCCTCCCACTGACACCTATGATGGGGCACTATTCCTCCCACCGACACCAATGATGGGGCACTATTCCTTTCACTGACACCAATGATGAGGCACTATTCCTCCCACTGACACCAATGATGGGGCACTATTCCTCCCACTGACACCAATGATGGGGCACTATTCCTCCCACTGACACCAATGATGGGGCACTATTCCTCCCACCGACACCAATGATGGGACACTATTCCTCCCACCGACACCAATGATGGGGCACTATTCCTCCCACCGACACCGATGATGGGGCACTATTCCTCCCACCGATACCGATGATGGGGCACTATTCCTCCCACCGACACCGATGATGGGACACTATTCCTCCCACCGACACCGATGATGGGACACTATTCCTCCCACCGACACCGATGATGGGGCACTATTCCTCCCACTGACACCGATGACGGGGCTCTATTCCTCCCACTGACACCAATGACGGGGCACTATTCCTCCCACTGACACCAATGACGGGGCACTATTCCTCCCACTGACACCAAATGACGGGGCACTATTCCTCCCACTGACACCAATGACGGGGCACTATTCCTCCCACTGACACCAATGACGGGGCACTATTCCTCCCACTGACACCAATGACGGGGCACTATTCCTCCCACTGACACCAATGACGGGGCACTATTCCTCCCACTGACACCAATGACGGGGCACTATTCCTCCTACTGCAAAATTACAGTTATGAAGTAGCAACGAAAATAATTTTATGGTTGGGGGTCACCACAATATGAGGAACTGTATTAAGGGGTCGCGGCGTTAGAAAGGTTGAGAACCACTGCTTTAGAGTGTATTAGCCTCATGTGACAACCTGTTAGGTGTCATCTTTATCCTTGGTTGCTTGAACAAAGCAGTATTCCTGCAATCATGTCCGCTCTAACAAAGCAGTATTCCTGCAATCATGTTCGTCCACATCATCCTCTTTGGAGACTCTGAAGAGGGATGCTTTGCCTGGGAAAACTTGGCAGCTTCTCATTGCCAAAGCAGATAACCCTTCAAAGTGGAAACCATTTCTTTAGTGTATTGACAATGTTTTTATTGAATGTGACATCCTGTTAGGTGTCTTAAACTCTATCCCCGGCTGCTTAAACCAGCAGGATACATAGTCATGCTCGTCCGCCTCTTCCTCTTCATAGAGTCTGAAGAGGCTGTCTTGCTTGGCATGGTTTATGAGATCTCTAATCACCAGAACATGTAACCCTTTCACAGGGTAAGTGGAAACAACTCCCTTTGAGTGCACTGGCCACTTAATGAATGTGACAACGTGTTGGGTGTCATCATCCTCATTTGTGGTTGCTTGAATAAAGTAAGATTCATATTGTCATGTCAATTTGTCTTTTCCCCTTTGGAGAGTCTGAAGAGGCTGTTCTGCTTAGGAATACTTCTAGGCCAAGGGGAAAATACCATGTTTGCTCTATAGACAGTGCCTTTTTAAAATTAAAAAGACACTGGCACCAGTAAATACATTTCTGTGAAAAGGCTCGATGGAAGCAGCCATCTTCCAACTTACACATGGCCCTTATTAGTTATGGGACAATAAATCTGATATTCACTGGGGTAATGCACTGCACTTTTCATGATACAGCAAAGAAGCATTTATCAGTGCAATAATAATTGGCTACTGAAATTCGTGCTGCTGCCCAAAAGGATTTCATTAGAACTTTGTAAGTGGGCCCCATGAAAGTACTCTTTGCAAAACACCAAGCCACCCCTGACCAGATCATTTTCCACTGTTTTCTTTTTGTGCAGATAAATCCTGTTCTGATTTCTTTACATGTGAGTGGTAGGTAAAGGACATAATTTATAACACTGCAGATTGCTGATCTTGAAATTATCTGATTGGCTTAGGGTAGGGGTGTCAAACTCAATTTCATTACAGGCCACATCATTATGGTTGCCCTCAAAGGGCTGGTGTTATCTGTAAGACTAGATGTCTAGAGCACACCAGCCCCCCTTACATCAGATGTCAAGAGCCCCCCCATCAGAAGTTATGTGCCCCCCACATTCCCTTACATCACAGTGCACCTCCTTACCTTGTGCTGCTGCCAGGAAGAAGTTGGAGGCGGAGCTGGGAAGCAGAAAGTGCAGAGTCTGGAGTAGGACTGGAGTCAGCTGCCAGAGTCTGCTGAATGCTGAGCCCAGAGGAGATAGAGACAAGAGGGTGCTGTGGTTGTCCAGAGAGGCACAGGATCTGTAGGAGGAGTTCTGTCCTACTCTCTGCCGCTGGCTGTTGAGACAAGGTAGGGGCCATGATGCCCCCTCATCGTGCAGTAAGGGCCACATAAAATGACCTGGCGGGTTGGATTAGGGCGATGTGCCTTGTGTTTGACACACGTGGTTTGGGGATCTAGGAGGATTTCACATCAATTTTGGGGAGTTTGGGCTGTATAAATTTTAGTATTTTAAATAAGTCAGTTTTTTCACTATGTTGAGCCTGTGATCTTCTCTTTATTGGTAATTACCTGAATACATGGATCCTTGATCAGGTGGTGTGATCTGTGATGATATCCCCCTAGAAGGAGAACCACCTTGACAGAGGGAGACGTTTGGAGGCTGGCAATGTGGATCTGTATGCAATCCTAAAACGTTATGCCTCTTTGAACCTAGAGAGTCATATCTATCTCAAAAGCAGATTTGTGTCTTTTTTCTGGTGGTGTTCATGCTGAAGATTGAATTCTTCCTTTACAACACTTTAATAAGGACTCTAATTCAGACACTTTTTACTGTTTTGTAGTGTATTTTGTAGCTCAGCACTGAGTTTGTATGTATTGTTTGCAGTGAAAAGTATCTCATAGTCAAATCCCAGTATATATACCGCCATTTGTAAATGCTATAACTTTCACGTAAACCAATTACTTTACATGTATTGGGATTTTTTTTTGTAGCACAAACATGCAGCCGAATACATTTTGGCCTAAATTTATGATGAAATGTGATTTTTTTTTTTTTTTTTTTTTTTTTTTTTACTGGACATGTTTAATAGCAAAAAGTCCAAAATATTGTTTTTTTTTACTCAAAATTGTTGGTGTTTTTGTTTTTATAGTGCAAAAAATAAAAAAAAACGCACGGGCGATCAAATATCACTGAAAGAAAGCTCAATTCCTGGGGAAAAAAAAGGACGTAAATTTACTTGGTTGCAGCGTTGTCAGTTAAAGTGACACAGAGCCATAACGCAAAAAATGGCCTGGTCAGGAAGGGGGGTAAATCCTCAGGAGGGCAAGTGGTTAAAGATAGAGGTAACACTTATTGAAGTATCATGGGATGTACAAACTCTTTATAACGGAGTACATAAAAACTGTTTTACCTGCCAAAAGATTCGTAATTCTGTCCAGGCAATCTTGTGAACCAGGCTTTCCTGCCACATGTATAGTGAAGATGTTGACCTCCCTTTTTCCACTGCAGTTAGGCCAAATAGCATGGTGACCAACACACTCCTGCATGCTGACTGTGCACAGTGATTGAACATCATAATAATGAGGTCACCATTTTTCTCTCTTTTGTAATGGTAATTTATGCATGTGTCTGGATACGTTTTAGCATTTCCTTTTTTGCACTTAGTATACATTATCCTCTACCCAATTTATACTGATAAATATTTGAAATTTAGATACTCTTCTGTGTTTTCTGAACATTTAATAAATAAAGCTAAATTAAACCATGTCTCATGAGATTATTAGTGAACTCTGTGGCCTGCAGGTTGCTCTTTCAAGGTTATGTTATAACATCATCTTGAGATTGGTAAGAAACCTGTTAGAGTTGGCAGCTCGATAGGTGTCCTTGATATCATGGCACAGCTTTTCACCATATCTTAATGACAGAGGACACACCATTTCTTATTGTTCCATGCCTATCTGTGATCAGTTCCCTCATTCAGATAACTGTCCTTCTTCAAGATTGTGCAGCTGAAATCACGCCTTCCTGGATTGTGAATGAAAACACACTAGTAAGAATAAAGTTCAAGGCAGTTATGACACACCACAAGGTCACATTACTGCTGAATGTCTATATAAATAACATCACCTACTAATCTAGCAGGAAGACAGTTTGCCTCATGTATGACACAGTTTACAGTAACCTGAGTGCTCCATTAACAGACACGCACAGCACAGCAATGGCTTGTAAGTCTGAAAGGCCTAGTGCCTGTCAATGTAATAGAGATCCAGTCAACAGCATTCTTTTTCGAATGCTTAATTCAGAAGTAACACCAGAAGCTAACAGCCTGCAAGGGCATCATCAATACATCTGTAATTCTACTGGAGGATGTCCTTGTGAGGGCAACAAGATGGTAGTGCTAAAGAATTCTGAAGTTATTTGCAAAAAAGCATCTGAAGTTTTATTAAAGACAGTGGCTTTCATTAAAAATGTTCCATCCTTTTACCAGCTGCCACAGGAAGATCAGATCCTTCTCATACACAAGTGTTGGGCTCCACTTTTTGTTTTAGGACTGGCTCAAGAAAAAGTGGATTTTGAATGGAAGGAACTTTCTGTCCCCAGCCTCTTGAAGAAGATTCTCCTTAATCAATCTTCCAATATCGGTGATACCACAATGAGGCCTGATGCTGGAGTTCCTTTCAGAGATGTCCAACGGATAAGGTCGCTTCTACATAAACTGTGGAGCTTGGACATTTGCACAAAAGAGTATGCATATCTTAAAGGGATGGTACTGTTTAATCCAGGTAAGTTTTTGCCTAATCTAAAGATCTTCATTTAACACTAGCTGTATATGAATTGGCTCTATAACATACCGCTATTGCAAACTCACAAGAGCGATAACTTTTTCAATTAAGAAAATGTATCTAAGAATTAAACAAAAACTCAGAAGCTTGACTTTGAAATTTTTTGATGACTGACATTCAGTTACAATTCTTTCAGACATTACTGAACGCTGTTTTAACAAAATAAATACATCAAATGTGAGCAGGTGCTAACTAGGTTGATAGATGAACCCCCAAATGCCATGGCATTAAGGTTCCAGGTTCTCACTAATATAACAGTAATCTGTTACCTTTACTGGGAACAGGTACCTGGGAAAACTGGTTTGTACAAGGGTCCAAGTGCACACATATCATTAGTGGTCAACTATTTTAGCTGGTACTTTATAATATGACGTCACTTAAGCTCTTTAACATATACAGTTGTGAGGTCTAAAAAAGGATTTGAGCTTCAATGATTCTGTAAGAAATTCCTCTTATTTCCACCTTTGCAATCTTTCAATAAATATGATTTTAGAAATAGATTGAGAATGACATCTCCCCTTTTCAGGTACTGGGCTTCGTTCCCATTGTAAGTAACCGTGGTTTATTAGTGATAATTAGTAGTTACTTATATTTAGCAACTAGCTCTTCTTTTTAAAACAAGATTTTTCTTTTACTCTATACTGGAATTTATCTTTAATTTTTTTATACAATTCTAGTGAGAAATATTTTTTTGCTAGCTGCCATAGGGGAATCTGACAATATTTAAAAGTTGTATGTACAGTATGTATTTGCATGCATCTGTTACAGTAGTGAATTAGGTCTACACTTACCCAATAGCAGTGGAGTCATTTTTTGTTTATTTATATACTGTATAATAAAAAAAAAAAATATGTTTGCTAGAGATATATTCTACCAATTTCAGTGTGATGTGCTGTTATAATGAAAGCTGATATGCTATTTTTATGGTAATTAACGTCATATTTTGCTATAGCTCTTAAAAAGAAAGACTTGAAAATGACCTAATTACATAATCACGTGCCATCAACTGAAAATTACAGTTTCTTTCTGAATACTAATCCTGCTTTAGCAAAACCAGCTGTATCATTTCATTTACATAATATAAAGAAATAGATTGCCTAATCCAGGAATTAAATATTGGTTCTATTTACAAATGCTCCTATTATTTCCAATCCTGAGTGTTGTTAATGGTCCAATATTTAATATTATAACATACTGCTAATTTTTTTTTTTACATGTTTTGGGCCAGCACAGTGGCTAAATGTTAAATCAAATTGTAGAATTTTCATATGGTACCCACGTTCGGTAGCAATTCAATTAGGAGCGCACGAGGATCACACCATAACAGTGGCTAAATGGTTAGCACTTCCACCAGCCAGCACTAGGGTTGCTGGTTCAAATCCCAACCACGGCACCACCTGCCTGGAGTTTGGGCGTTCTCCCTGTGCCTGCGTGGGTTTCCTCCGGGTACTCAGTTTTCCTCCCACACGCCAAAAACATGCTGGTAGGTTAATTGGCTCCTATCTAAATTGGCCCTAGTATGTGTATGTATGAATGTAAGTTAGGCACCTTAGACTGTATGCCCCTTGAGGGTTAGGGAGTGATGTGAATGTATAATATATGTAAAGAACTGCATAAATTGACGGTGCTGTATAAGTACCTGTAATAAATAAATATATTGATTACAATAATATAAATTAACAAATACTAACCTAAATTAGTTCAAGCAAACTTTGAACTTCTGCCTATAAACTATGTATGCTTTAATGTAGTTGTAGAGCTGGTGATCATATTACCCACACACAAGATGGGTGGGTTGTACTACGTGCAGTTAGGGCAAACCTCAGGTGCGAGAGACTGGTACAGCCAGGAGCTTTAACGTTATCGTAGTTCACCCAGGACACAGTCATAAATTGTATTTTGTCTGATAGAATGTTTCTATCAAGTGTAATGATCTTGACTCATCTATTGTGCAACTGCTATAGTACTGCATAACAGCTACCGGGTATGCAGGCAAAAGGGAGAAGGCATTAACAATTGACATTACTCTTGAAAAAGTATTTAATTACAGCCCAGCCAAAACTTTTTTTTTTTTTTTACATTTTGTTTCAGATAGAGATGGGAAGGGTTAGTGCCTCTGTTAGGTTTTTATTACCAACTATTTGTCTATTGGGAGATTTAAGGACAGGAAATCATAAAAAAGCTCTCCAACTGCAAAACAGATAAAAATAAAAACATAGTTTTTATTTAGTGGACAAGAGATAGAACTTCTGACCATGTTTTTATTGCTGCCCATGCCTTCCTGTCCAGGGGACAACTGCTTTCCCCCATTCCTTGTAAGGCTGACACAGGGATAGAAGGTTAGGTTAGTAAAAAATCTCTGCAATGGGGTTACAGGCAAATATAAAAACTTGAAAAAAAAACAAACTCTTCCTTACCCCATCCAAAAATTTGGAAAACAAATGTCTGAAGCTATGCTTTGTTCAGTAGTTATAGACAGTTGAAAAAGATATGCATAACGAAACACAGCATTGATAACTTATTTTGAAGTAATGAATATTTGAAGTCTGTCGTGTGCTTTATACAAAACTATACCCATTGATAAACCTCTATGCTGTTCTTGTTATTTGCTAAAACCAACTGAAAAAATGTTTAATTGTAATGTGTTTTCTGTTCACTTTGCTTGGTTCCCAGGTATTAGTGGTATTAGGTACCCACAGTATGTTCAGACCCTACAGCTGGAAGCACAGCAAACACTAATGGAGTTTACATCAATGATACACAGCAGGAGTCACGCTCGCTTCACTTGGATGCTACAAGCTGTGGACATTGTCAAGGCTATCGACTCCAAAATGATCACAGAACTTTTCTTTAGACCTGTCTCTGAAGTCATTAATCTGGAAGAGGTGTTGCTTGAAACTTTGTTCATCAACCACTAAAACTGTGAATCCAGAACATTTCCCTGATGCATTGAACATAATTAAACCTCTTAATTGAAAGGGCCGTCATAAGTATAAGCTGACTTTTCAGCTTTGGTCAAATATTTTCTTATATTGCACCAGTACACATACTGAAAGACAGAGAACTGATAAAACAGATACTGAGAGATAACGCAAAGCTCCATAAAAGAATACAGTATGTGTTGAAGTCATAATCTATTTAACTCCAGTTTTGTATGTACGTAAATTTAAACACCTAAATCTCTGATACCAGAATAATTTTTATACCTATTGATGCTATTAAGTTTTTTTTTTCCTGTTTACAATCACAAAAAAAAAAGTGATTGTTTTGAGCTTGACAGAAAAGCAATATGGGAGCTGGTACTGCTGGCATGTTTTTGAAGGTGAGCTTCAAGAATGTCATCCTTATTCTTCCTTTGCAACCTGGTTAGTCAGCAACCCAGAACAAGTTTGGGCATAACTGGCGTCCTGATAATTCACTAACCGCTGGGTCAGTAATGGACAAAGATAAGTATGGCAGCACAAGAGCCTTCACCATCAAATACAAATTAGCAATGTAAGCTCCTGTATTTCAGTCCCAAGAGGTCACCAAATGATTAACGAAAAATATCCTACTAATGGCAGTAAGTACTTTAAAGAGAAGTACAGAAGAAAGATGGATGCTTATTAAGCATCCTCTTGGACAAATTTCACAACTGTATATTTAAATCTTTATTTACCGAAACAAGCTTGTACTGCAGCAGCATTATTAACTGTACATAGTTTATACACTCCCTGCTACTTTGAAGCATGCTATAAAATTGGTTACCTCATACGCATTTGTTCCAACCCTAATATTATTTTAATGCACCTGGCAGTAATGATTGCTTGCAGGGTTTGGCTTATCTTCAAAGCTTAAAAAAATAAATGTAATAATAAAATTATATTTGGGGTAAGGGTACCCAAAACCAATAAATTAGGGTGATATTTGGAAGATTAATCCTCTGACAGGTGTAAAGTCCACACGTTTGATAGCTGTCATGGGCAGTAAACCCTATATTTTATGGGGGGGATTTCTCTGCTGGGGTCCTTGAACATTCTAACTAGTGGGTATGTGACTGCACTGGAACCCACTAAATTCTGTATAGCTTTCAGGAATCCAAGAATGATGTGCCACTAACACTGGACTTTGCTCTTATTTCTTTGAACACATCAATACTCACATAAGATAATAAATGTTGATCCAAGTCAGCAAATTGTGGAAAGCACACTTAATTTATGTACATTTACCAGTTATCCTGACACAAGATCAATGTTTTCTGGTTAAAATGTGTTCCTGCATACAAAGTGATAAGTGTGCACCTAAAAATCATGTTGCCTTTATAAAGTTTAAATAGAGTTGGTAAGCAGCAGCAACTGCACTAGGCAAAGTAAAGTTTACAGCTTTTAATTTTCTGTATCCACTGTTATGTTAATCTTTCCATTTTGTGTATTATTATTTTTCTATTTTTATATAAAATTGTGCTGTGTATTGGTCTGGTAAATTTGTTATCACTCATCCAATCTGGGATATTCTGCTGATCTCTTATAATTGCTGAAAAACTGCAATTTTATAAGATGTTTCTGAGTTCTATGTGGCACTTAACCTAAAACGTTATTTATTTTTGAACATTAAGAACATTTCACATCAATATACAATAAAATATTTTACTAATAATATTTGTATTGCATTCCCTTCTTTTCACTCTTAAGCCTGTTTTCTGATTGTAAAGTGTAATTTAACTCTAAAAACAAACTATATTGCTAGGAGGTAGGGTTTTTTGACAGAAAAGACAGAAAATTTCTCTGCGACCATAGGGCTCTGATTTACTTATGGGCGTGGGCGCATATTTGTGGGCGAACGTCCAATTTTTATGAGCGACCGTCTACTTTTACCCGCAACGAGATTTACTATTGAGCAGCGCCCATAAGTAGACGCCCAATCGAATTTACTAACAAGACACACGCCCGGAATCAGACTCACAAAGCAGACTTGCTGAGAAGCACATCTAACACCATGAAAAATCACTGCAGAGACATGTTCACTTAGAAATTTGCTTTGCCAAATATTAGGACTTCACTTTAAACAATATCTGCCATTTCAAAAAAAAATTAAGAATGTGTTAAAAATAGTTTTTTTTAAAGGAAATCGACACAGTAAAAATATAGACGCCCGTGCAGTGTCTTAGGCCGATATAACTGAGCATGTGCAGAACACATTTCAGACGTCCTCTGCAGGCGCTTGCTTTTTAGCCACTGCTCAATAGTAAATCTCAGTGTGGATTCCTCTGACAACCGACACTCGGTCGCGTCTACTGTGTTTAACAAACAGCACTAAGCATATCTTTATGTATTCTAATTTGATTTCCTTAGTTCTAGTGATTCTATTTTTGTTTCTTATCCTTTATAATTATTTCTGTAATGATTTTACTTATTTCGAAGGTCTAGATAATATTTATTTTGACAGCTGAATGTAAAAATAAAGGTCCGCATTAAAAAAAAGAAAAAAAAAACAGCATGGGTCCCCCCTCTCATCCATACCAAGCCCTTCAGGTCTGGTTTGGATATTAAGGGGGAACTCCACGCCGAAATTAAAAAAAAAAAAACAGCGTGGAGACCCCCTCAATATCCATACCAGGCCCTTATCCGAGCATGCAGCCCGGCAGGTCAGGAAAGGGGGGGGGGGGACGAGCGAGCGCCCCCCTCCTGAACCATACCAGGCCACATGCCCTCAACATGGGGGGGGTGCTTTGGGGCAGGGGGGGGCTCCCCCCCCAAAGCACCTTGTCCCCATGTCGATGAGGACAAGGGCCTCTTTCCCACAACCCTGGCCGGTGGTTGTGGGGGTCTGCGGGCGGGGGGGCTTATCAGAATCTGGAAGCCCCCTTTAACAAGGGGGCTTGGTGTTGCTGCAGAGTATTACTCCCAGAGTTTGGATATCCCAAGTTGCTACAGAGCTTTGCTCCTAAAGTTTGGATATATCCTATTACCATCGCTCCAAGAGCAACAATGCTAATACTGGTTTATAATGTAATCAGCATCTAGCTCTGGTGAGTTTATTTCTTCTGGTGGTGGTGGATTGTGATCACGGTGATATATATATATATATATATTCACAATAAGTTAGAGTGACACATTTTTTTGGACTTGACACATGCACTTTTTTTTTTGTTTAATTTGTACCACTAAGTGGTTTGTTTGATTGAGTTATTATATAGCGCATTCCTATATTTGTTTATAATATTTGCTACAGTTTATTTAAAAAAAGTGCAGTGATTCTCCACTACTATTTAAAAAAGTGAAAATAATTCCTGTAGCTCATATAAATAAAGTGCAGTGATTCTTTGAACCAGCAGTGCAGCTTGTGAATATCCTCTGTACAGTCACCACCACCAGGACTCCGCACTCACCAGAAACTGTGGCTGCGTAACTATAAGTAGCAAATGCACTTAAATGATCTGAGTCTCCCAGGAAACACCACCTCTGTTCCGGATGCGATAAGTACACATCTCACTGACACTGGCCAAGTTTTAGTAATCCAGTATAAAGTATATACCAGCGCATAAAAACAAATAAAAATAGCTAGCAGAAGTATGGCAGCCTCATAAACCTCTTTTGGCAGCATGATGTCAGCACTCTAACTCCACCTAATACATTTTGCGATCATCAGGGGTAAAAAATGCTGATAAATCTCCTCTTTATAAAGATGCATCAGTTCTGCTCAGTGTAGCAGCATTCAGTCACCATCTTGTAGAAGTTCAGTGGCCATCATCTAATAAACCATAATGTTATCCTAATGGTTGGCCATTTTTCTGTAGTCAGAATTATATATAAGCAGAAAGGCAGCTATATTCTAACATGAGCGCCAGTATACTACTGACAGTGGCTATGAGTATAACATGGAACAACGTGAGACATTTTCCTATAGTCAATAACTTGCCTCGCCAATGTTTTTATGGATGCAAAAATGGCAGAATTAAGTTATTTTTTTTTCTAAAAACTGACTGGAACTATCCTTTTATTATCGCTCCATAGATGATATTTTGATAGTTTGGAATGGAAATACTGAGTCTCTCTTGGAGTTTATGAGATATTTGAATAGTGATAATTTGAGTATTTCATTGTCTTATGTCTTTAGTACCAGTGTAGTTAACTTTCTTTACTTAACTCTTTTTTGTAAGAGATAAAGTAATACATATTAAACATTACTTAGCCTACTAAGTACAGCTTCATCCCCAGAGTTGCCATCACCCACAGTGGCTAGATAATATACCTAAGGGCCAGTTTCTACATATGAGGCAAAACTGTGATGGGATGGATGATTCCTGAACCAATCACAGGTTTTAAAAACTAGATTTTTGGGAAAAGGGGTATAAGGAGGAAGATTTGGACTGGACTATTAAACAGGTTAGTGACATGGGAAGGGAACCCCTTCTGATGACCAAGCTAATTAAAATATAAGACCGATAGGATATGTCCTTTTGTTACTAATTTTTCTGCACAACATTACCAAATGAAGCAGATTATATGTAAACATTGGGGATTTTTCATGAGAGATCCAGCATTAAGGGACCTTTTGCCAACAATCTGGAGGTTTAGAGGATGCCTAACTTAAGAGATAAACTTGCACCTTATGTAATAGCTTCTCCTAAAAAAAAGTTCAGGTATTTTCTCCTTTAAAAAGGTTTCTATCCTTGTAATAACCACATTATTGGTAAGGTGAAAGGGATAAGGTGGAAAAAAATTGCTAAATTAAACTCCACTAACACAGGGAAGGAATATGAGATTGACTCTTTTATTACATGTAACACCAGGTATGTTGTATACTTGATGCAATGTCCGTGTGGAAAGCAATATATAGGAAGAACAACATGCAGACTAGGAGATAGACTGAGTGAACACGTTTATAACATTCAAAACGTAGATTCAAAGGACACTATCCGCCCATTTTAAAAAAAATA